TGTTCACTCCTAAATAGGGTTGTTCGGTATACCGGTACTAAATTGGTACCAGGGTACTGATGCATTTAAAATGGTACTATACAGTGCTTGGATAAGGCCGGTACTTTTTTTTTTTTTAACGTCGCCGCGTGACGTCACCGCGTACCAATTTAAGCCGGGGCGAGCAGGTGAGCGAATGCGCGAACAGCGCGGAGCAGCAAACGGAGCAGGAGTCTGGCGACAGAGAGAGATAAAGGAGAGAAAGAGAGACACAGGAGCAGAGAGAGAATGGCAGCTGCTGCAACCATCACCACGCCGCAACTCATAGATAAGCCAGGTGAGCGAAGTGCTACATGGAATTACTTCGCCTTGAAAACAAATGAGCACGGTGAAGCCATTAACACCGATGCACCACTGTGCAAACAGTGTTACAAAACATGTGTGGCCGAGGGTGGAAACACTTCCAACTTGACAAAACACTTGAAGGACAAGCACCCAGACCTGCACAAGGAGTTCAGAGAACGACAGGTAATAACTTATATACCCATGAAAAAAAGCCACATTCAGTGCTAAAAGCAAGCAACGCCAGCTTCCTTCACTCTCCACAAAAGTAGCTCTGGAAAATATTTAAGCCTGTCTTTGTGTCATTTTATTTTAATCACTGATGCATAATGTTATAGTTCTAAGATTGTCTATTAAAATAAAGTAAATAATGACATTTTTTGTGTTCTCTTTTTATTTCGAAAAGTACAGAAAAGTATCGAAATACATGTTGGTAGCGGTACCGATACCAAAATGTTGGTACCGTGACAACACTACTCTTAAAGTGTAACATCATTAATTGTACGTATTGTTCAGTCCCGTGAGAGTAAACAACATCACAGTCATGTTCAGCAGTTGTAAACTGATCGGTTCATTTCACCGTGCACCAAAAATATGAACAGGTTTGATAAACGATGCTCTTAAAGCATTTTGAGGTTTGACCCAGTTGCTGACCGCTGCTGCAGTTTGGACGTAAAAGAGAAACATTCAACTCAGTCTGTTCTCTACCCCGCCCCCACGGACTGCTACAAAGTGCCGTCTGTTTATTTATTCTTATTATTATTAAATTTGTATTAATACTGAACATATCAGTCTCCTAGATTTTTTTAGTAAGATTATGCTGTCAAATCTTTGTGTTGAAGGTAAAACACAATCTTTTTAATGCCATGCAGCTGGTCATTTGTAGTCTGAGTCATATGACTTGTCCTCCTAGATGTATATTTAATCTCCATCTTTTACAGTTCAGAATTCTTTATTCAAATGTCTTTCTGAAGATGAATGTGATGTCTGATGTTTTGTGTAATGCAAATGCAGTTTTCTGTCAGGACCGAGAAGTACAAGAGCACAGCAGAGGATTAACATACCATCAGCAACTTTTTGATTTGTGGGGTTGTGTGATCAGCATGTGTTGTGTGTGTGTGTGTGTGTGTGTGTGTGTCGATGGGGGCTACTGTACCTCACTAAGCTGATAATCCGCAGCCCAGCAGATAAACGCCTATAAATATTTACAGGATGGCAGTGTTGACGCAGCCAGGCTCCACAGCTTTACATCCTGTCTGATTTCACACAGAGGCTGAAGCTGTGTTATTCTCCGGAAAATAAAGAAATAAATAAGATACTCCTGATCATTCCAGGAGGCTTTTCAGAAAAGTCAGTGTGCATGAAATTTTGGCTCAGAGGGTCAAATATTCAGATGTGTTTGGTCAAACACAGTTCAGGTGCTCTGCACAAAGTAAATAGCTGAGTAAAAAAAGTCCCAATGGCAGACGTTCATTATGTTTGTGTGTCTGGTGGTAGGTGAGGACAGTAACAGAGCTGCAACAGCTTATGTTGTAATTCGATTGATTTTTGTCTGTACATTTATATATATAATGTATTTAGATGAATGTGCATGAGCTTTGTTTGTACATTGGTATCTACATAAGTTAGATTTTAAGTCTTTATTCTTTATTATTATAAATGTTCTTTAACTGCAAATGCTTTAATCGGTGCATTAGTGCAGGTCAAAAATATAGAAACAAATCTTTTGCTATTTTAGCGAGTCTGCAAATCAATTCACACTGGTATACGCACTGCCTCCAGTGTAGTGCCTGCACTTAAAGTCCTACACAGACAAAAGGTTTCACCCACATGGACTCACATTTTTCTCTGAACCCGACACGTTTCATTCATGCTGAACCGCAGCCTATACGTCTGAGACTGACCCATAGTGTCACTAGTAACATCCATATTTATTTTGTACTTATGCTACTGCAAAACACCAAATACTGGAAAACTCAAAAAACTTTACAGAGAAAAAAACGCCTGACAGTAAGGTATATCACATGTATTCCTCCGTCACTTTAGAAACAATCTTACATTGACAAGAGGGAGACGGGATGACACTTTTCAGACATCTCGTACACCCAACGCTCTGTCTCGACATTTAAAATGTAGCTATGTTCACATTGCTTGAGTTGCTGCTTCGAGAGGACAGTCATTTACACAACCACAAGAACTACGGGAAATGTAACACAGGTTGTTTTAAGTGATGGAACAAATGACTGACACAATGATTTTACTGGTGAGGGCGGTGTCACATCGTCCTTCAGTCAATGGAGCACAACCAGAGCTGCACTGCACAAATGAATCATCTGAGCTTATCTGTTGGGGTGTGAAATGGAGGCATGTGTAAGGAAATGTGTGAGAAAAAGACAAAGAGGATGATGCAGCCGAGTGAGCAGAGGGGGAGGAAGTGTGGATGGAAACCAAGTGGAGCGTTTATCTAAGCGACTGCCGGGTGCCGACATACTCGTTTTTCATGCTGTCAGCCTCTTCCTCTCTCTCTCTCTCTCTCTGCACTCTACTGTTGTTCTTTGCGTCCTCTGCTCCTCCCTATCATCTCCTGTCTCTTACTCTACAGCTTCCATACAGTTCTCCTCCTCCTCCACCTGTCCTTGGCTGCCTGCAGTGATCTGTATTTGGAGCCTGTGGAGGGGCGGTCAGCTGCTGTCAGTCCACTGCTGTTTGGTTTTGCACTTTTTTTGTCTGTGTAAAGTCAAGTAAATAAAAAAATAAATAAAAAAAATAGATCTTCATCTCTGTAAATATGAACATGTGTTCTCTGTTTGAGTGATGTTTAATGCAAACGTTTGGATAAGAAATGTAACAGTTGATCTCTCAGTTACTGTCACCATCATCTTCTTCTGCCTTTCTCTCCTATACACCAATCACTTCTGGCTGCTTTTCGCATCATTATTTTTATGTTAACTTTTCTCTTTTCTTTTTATTTGTGGGGAGTAGGCTGATTTTGATTTGCTTATAGGTCTGTAATACAGAAAGAGATTCATTATTTATTCATGCATGTTCAGGTTGTCAATTTTTATTTGAACCTTGAATATTTATAGTCCATCAG